TTATAGGAGTGTTTTAAGTTGGATATTCGTTACTGTTTGAATTAATGAATATAGTTTCTGGGAACGTTGATAAGAATTAATAGAATCGAAAAAATAATTATCTACAAACACGTATTTCCAACGTATTTACGATTCATTCCACACTAAACACATTATATTAATAATTTGATTGATTTAGGTGATATCCACGGACAATTCACTGACTTATTAAATATTTTTGCAAATGGTGGCTTTCCCCCAACCGTAAATTATTTATTCCTTGGTGATTACGTCGATCGAGGCAAGCAGTCCACAGAAACAATCTGTTTACTCCTCGCGTACAAAATTAAATACCCAGAAAATTTCTTCTTGCTGCGAGGAAATCATGAATGTGAGACCATTTGCACCACGTATGGATTTTACGATGAATGTAAACGACGGTATAATACCAAGCTCTTCAAACATTTCTGTGATGTTTTCGCCTGTCTACCTATGGCGGCGGTGATTGAAGATAAGATATTTTGTTGTCACGGAGGACTCAGTCCAGAACTAAAGGAATTGTCACAGATAAAGAATCTGAAAAGACCATTGCATGATCCCATTTCACATGGTAATAAGTATTGTATAAGTATTGTGTATTACACATCTAACAAAGTTTATTTTGTAAGGTTTAACATGTGATTTGCTATGGTCTGATCCGGACAAAAACATTCACGGCTGGGCCGAGAGCGATAGAGGGATCTCTTTCACTTTTGGTGAAGATGTGCTTGCGAAGTTCTTGAAAAAGCACGATTTTGATTTAGTTCTACGTGCACATCAAGTAGATTTACCAATGCAAAACAGGTTCAGTTGATAAGTACTAATATAATCATTTTTCAGGTAGTGGAAGATGGTTATGAGTTTTTTGGCAATCGAAAACTGGTTACACTCTTTTCCGCACCAAATTATTGTGAATTTGATAATGCAGCCGCGCTTCTGACGATTGACGAGGAGTTAATGTGCACGTTTCAAGTGAGATTATTTATTTTAATTTATTTAAAAGTTCACGCATATAACACGTATTTGTATGTTGAATTACAGATATTAACAAAAAGAGAAAAAACAAAGTAGACACTATGATAACGAAGACTCTTCGTGCATATTTTCCTTTTGGAAAATGTCAGCATACATCGGAAATGTTTGCGGGGGCGCAGGCTCCTCGGCACGTACCTTCCTTACTCGTTTAGATATAATTCCAAACAGCACCAACCCGCTGGTCCCTAGGATACACAGGCCCACAAC